AGGGAAGATAGTGGATTTTTCATCGTATTCTTGACACATCCTGGGTAAAACCTATGTAAGGAACAGTCATGTAGAGCCTGATGTACATCCTTACTTCAAGAAAAAAAATTAATAACAGCAATCTGTTAGATGCAATACTGAGCTGACAATGCTGAAGTAGTATTTACTTTTGACTGGCTGCTGTATTTCCACGTAGTGACTTATCTTCTGCTGGAGGCAGTCCCATGAACTTGATAGAAGTTGGTTAGAAGCTTGGCCTGAATGTGCTGAAACAGTAGAACCCAGAGTTTCCTGTACAGGGGCTTTTATTTTTTTTACAGGCTTTCATCTGTATATCAGGAGTTCTTTTAATGTCTCATTTCTTCCCTATCCTGTCCCTCCTCGTGCTGTGGAAGTGGAGGAAGGGCTGGTAGTAACCTGGTGGCTACTGAGAGGGATTCCCCCTCTCCCCAAGTTTTATCTGTCAGATTTAAGGATGTGTTAACTTGGACCTTGAGCCCCTTGAGAGGCAGTTCTGTCTGTGGAAAGGTAAGATGCTGTAAGATGTTTGCAGCAAGTGGGGTGCTTGCCTGGGGATTGTCCCTTCTCAGGATGATGAGGTCAGAGGGGACTGAACAAAATGGTCCTTGCAAAATAGCAGTTAAACTAGCAGTAAAAGAAACTTTCCAGCTTCCCAAAGTAGTGTCATGCATTGCTGTACCATGGGATATGTTAAAAATTGGAATTTCTATTTTGAAAAGCTCAAGCTTTTAAGTGCTTGCACCAGTATCATTGAATCTAATGATTCCCTGTGCAAACCTTCTGCTAGGAGACTCTACCTGTGAAACCTCAGGTGTTAAAGGCAAAAAAAAAATGCAGTGGGAATGGCTTGGTAGCATGCTGCAGCACAGAGTACTCCCAAGTTCATGGTGAAGTTAGCCAAGTGTGGTGAGGGGAGGAAGGCAGAGTGTTCTGTATGGCTTCTGCCTCCAGGACAGATGGGTTGTTCCTCATCTCAAGTATCTCAGGACTGTCCCCTGCAGTGGAACAGATCCTCTGTCGGTTATCTCTTGTCACATGGAAGGCTAAAAGAAAGCAGCCTGTCAGAGATAAATACTGGGACACACCCTTAGATATGCTCGGTGGCAAAGCCAACTGGTTTGCAAGGGAGAGACCAGAGCAATGGAAGTGGCTTTGGAGAAGGTACTTGTCAGTGTGGGACTGGGTAGGTGGGAGAAGGCAAGTCCTGCACAGGAGGCTCACTGAGAGAAGGTGTGGGGCTATGAAAAAATGAAGACAGACCAAAAACCTTTTGTTTTTTTTTTTCCCCTGTTGCAACAGGCAGAAAGGTGCATGCAGGAGTAGAGCCTTTGAGGTAATGGGGGTATGTTTGCATGTGATGCAAAAAAAAAAAAAGCCTCCATAGGACTAGAGGAGTAATGATCAGGTATTTTTATTCTTGCTTAGTATATGTCTGTTGAAGCCATAGGACAGAGCCAAGTCAAGGAGAAATGAGCTGGGACTTTTAAGATGCTCAGTAGTGGTTAGGGGAAGCATAAGGAAGCCTCGTTAGCTTGAGCAGGGATGTCAGCAGCATCCTTGTGCCAGACATGCTGTTAGTGGCGAATGACTGACACAAACTTTTCCAATACAGTGAGTGAGTAGTACCCCTTTAACTTCACGTTTTGCTCAGATTGGTAAAGAAACCTGTCATCTGAATTCCCTTTCCTATACGTGTTACTACAGAAATATACTACTTCCATGTTTCATAAGCACAATAAACCTGCTCTTTTCTCAGTTTTGTAGGCTTTTGTACAAAGTGACTAGCTTCAGGAAAACAGTTTTGTTCTTTTTCTGTTAAATTTCTTTTTCAGCACAGGGCAGATCTGCTTAGAAATATCCTGTATTACTCAACTCTTATGACAAAACAGGTCTGTTAGATTGGGAAAACACTTGAGTGAAAAACCCAACACCCAGCTCTTCAGGGGATTTGCTGCTGTGCAGCCCAGGTTGGTGGGGCCAGGGGGGCTTGCACCCATTTCCCAGGGAGGGAAAGCACATCTGCTAAAACCACCGGCTGCCGAAACCTCCTGGCACAGCATCGGTGAGCAGAGAGGTGGCAGCGTACCAGCCTCTGGTGTGCCAAGTTGGCCTGAGATGCTGCCCAGTGCTGTGCGTACCCATGGGGCTGTGCTTGCCTCTTCCTCCGAGGCTGGTGTTGGTGCCCTCATCTCTTGTTGTTTTGATGGAAACTTGAAGCTTCGAGTTACTTTCTTGCCTTGTGCTTTAAAACTGCCTTTTTTTAGTTCAGTGGTCATTGTGGTTAGGAAGAGCACAAACTGAATACAAGTCTGTTTTCCTTAAGAAACCGAAACAAAAAGTCACTTTCTTGCAAGAAAAGGAGCTGCATTATTTTTTCTTAGTCCACCATGGAGAGAATTACCACTTTATTTAATCCTACAGGTTTTTTTTACTGTCGTGGAGCAGTTCACTGGCATTAAGTATTATCCCTGTTCTGTGATCCTATAATAAGTCTCTTGCCTTCTTGTGATTAACTTTCACAGAACGACTGCTTTCCTGAGGAGAAAACATACACTTAACTTTAGGTGGGAAGGGTTAAGTTTGGTGTTTTGTTGTTGGGTTTTTTTTTTTAAAGGAGCCGTGTTAGGTATGTCAGCTCTCCCTAATGTTAACCAACCAGTTTGTTTCTGAGGAGATCATTAACTGAGCCTTCTGCTTTGCTTGGACTTGTAAGATTAGCTACACGGCTGTAGTATGGCTTAGGGTTTTTTTGCACAGTTTAAATACTCTGGCCTTAAAGGTCTGCTGGGGGATCGGTTCTGGGCTCTAGTTTTAGAGTCTGTTGTTGTGCCCCGCTCCAGTTGCAGTGCTGCCCCGGAGCTCTGTACTCCAGTGCTGAGACCTGTCAAACCACAGCCATAGGTGGGTGTGCTCCGACTCCTCCTGGCTTTGAAATTTGTGAGTTCCTAGCCAAACACGCAGGGGGCTGTAGGTTTCTTCTAATGCTGCACACCTGGGTGCCTATGGAAGCTGGAGACTGTTTGACCCGGCAAGGGGAATCTTGGACAGAAAATTATTAAACACTGGGTGACTTAACTGTAGGCTAGAAGCAGTGCATGAGAGTTTTCATCACTAAGCCCTCCTGGCTTTTGAACTGAAGTGAGATGAGAATGCAGATGGTTTGGGTTTTGTTTTTTGGTGGTTTTTTTTTAAGTGATGCTGTAGAAGTGAGCACAGGCAGAGCAGCCACCCTTCTCTCGGCCATTCCCACTCTTGCACCTCTCCCTTCCCCTGGGGTGCTGCTGTGCCACAATAAACTGGAAGTAACGACGCTGTTGTGACATACTGTGGACTACCAAGGTTCTTAGGCATAACTTAAAATTATTTTGTCAGCGTAGCCCTAACGAGGAAAGCGGCAGGTGTGTGCAGGCGCTGTTCTTGCTGCATGCTTTGTGAGTAAGCCTGTGCCTACACACCCCTGACACCGACCGAGTGCCTCTTGCATAGGTCTGGAAACCTCGTTTGGGGTTTGGCTCCTTCTGTGTTGCGTATCACTTCATCTTTTTCCCAGCTAAAGCCCTGCAAGCTCCTCTTTGAGGCAGGCTTGGGAGTCAGGTGTGTGCCGTGCAAGAAATGCTGGTTTTACTGGCATGGCTGGCCTCTCGCTTTTCTTCACTGATACCTCAGCCCCTTTGGGATGCTCTGCTGAGAAGCTACAGGGGATGATGTACCTTCCCTTAAGTCCTTGCTTAGCGCCGTCTTCTTTCTCCTGTGTGAATCTTCAAAGCTTTCCTTATTTTTTTTTAATTGTTTTTTTGGAGGAACTATCCCAGGAGGTTAGGGAAGATGGCCATGGGCAGCAAAGCTGTGCCTGCCTTTGAACACAAACACTCCCATAGCAGGGAAAGGGGCTCTCGGGCTCCCCGTGGGGAGAGCTGGGGCTGTCGGGCTTGGTGTGGAAGGACTATACCCACGGGTACTTTCTGTGGGAGTGCCTTCTATATTCTAACTAAAACCTGACATTAATTAACTTTCCGGTTTCTTGGAGGTGAATCAAGAATGTTGTTTCCTTCTAGAAGGAATTTCTTATCAGAGATAAGGCTTTGGGTTTTCTTTTCATGCATGCTTCACCCCAGACTTTCTAAGCTCATTGCTCACTCCTAAGTTTAAATTTTTTATGTCTGCTGCAATGTGCGGTATTTCTGTCCTCAGCTCACTTCTGCAGAGCTTTTTTTAATAGTTAAATGGCCTTCAAAAGGAGAGAAGGAAAAGCTGGGAAGCACACGCTCTAGCTTTCTAGTTCGTCCTGGTTTCTTTTTCTTTTCTGCATGCAAGATGACCCCAGGTTTTTTTTTTCTTTTTAGCAGGGAGGATTCAGTCTGTTCAAAGCAAACTGTTAGCCTTTGCCTTACCAGAGTGCAATTCCCTTTTTCTTGTAACGCTTCTGATGCCTTCTGCCAGATGTCTCATCCAGCAGCTAATTTATACCCACAACGAATTGCCACGAACACAGGCACCGATATTAAGAGGAACTTGGAGGCTGACAGGCAGAGATGATAATCAAATAATACTAAATATTATCCAAAATTTGATTGTGTTGTTCCAAGTCAGTGCACAGCAGTGTTGCTATTTCAGCAGCCTGTATTTTCCTCTCCCTGCCAGTGCAGTAACTTATTGGATTGGTTTTATTCTGTTTTGTAAGAGAACTCTCTTTCTAAACTCTATACTGTGATATACGGAACCCTTACCAGCCTGTTTAATAAGTTAAAATTTTTAGCTGGCCTTACAAGGTGCTTTTCCTTGTGATACCCTTGTCCTTCAGTGTGAAGATTTAAGCTCGCTAAGCCATGAACTGTCATTGCAGTCACCCAGAATAAAACAAAGGGTGGAGGGGGCAGTGGAAATACTGAAACTTGGCACTTCGGTAAACCTTGGGTATTTTAAGTAAAGAACAATAATGGCATTGTTCTTGTGTGGCATTGTAGTTTAAATATGTAAACATGTCTGTCAACAAGATGCTTCATGTCAGGAACTAAGTTTGTTCTTGTTTTGATATCCCCATCCTTTTAAGCTGGTTCTTTATCACCAGTTCTTTAAATAAGAGCTGTATCCTGTGTTTACTTCAAATGCTAACGCAAGGGTGAATCCGCGTTAGAATCCTTGTAGTATTTATTTATAATTGCTGTTATTTAACAAGGTTTACTTGTTCTTACAGCTTGCAGGGACAGCAGTTCTTGCAATTGGACTATGGCTTCGGTTCGATTCGCAGACCAAAAGCATCTTTGAACTGGAATCAAACAACACGACGTTTTACACGGGTAAGCTTGGGAAGTGTCTCGGGCTGATAGATCACACTTTTGCACCCTGATTTCCAGACTGCTTAGAAACCTTAGTTTTCCTCGAAGGCTAAAGACAAAACAGCCTCGGTGGGGCAGAGCATCTTGCCCTGGCTGGTGGAGGGGGCCAGCCTCTGTTGTGAGCTCTTGCGCAGGCAGCAGCAGTGTCACACCAGCAGGTTTTTGGTTCTCACCTCATCTGTTTCTCTGCAGTTCCTCTTTGCATGCTGTTGGTACGTGTTTTGTAATCCTGGGGACTACTCACAGACACTGAGAATGTCTCTTCCTGATGCTTCTCACAGTGACTCAGCAAAGTTTCACTCCAAGCTAAATGAGTACTCCCAGACGACACGAATAACTTTTTTTTTTCCTATGAAGAGACCAACCTGAGCTCCCCCAAACCACAACTCCATCACCTCATCCCTCAGGAGCACACATATTATTGTTTAACTCTTACAGCCCCATGTATGCTAATTTATGCTGAACATAATGGAGAGGATGCACAAATATCTTGGACAGTGTGAGCAACTATTACAGCCAGCTGAGATCAATGTATCTTTAGTTAGGCTAGAAGTTATTCCTTGATATATTCTGTTTTGCAAAATTACCAGTTAGGGAGCACAAACACATGTTTTTAGTTTGTTGTTCTAATGTTGTAGGAGTTCCTAACTGCGTAGGATTTTATCCTAAATTGTAAGGTTTTGATCTCTACAGTCACTTTTAGGCTTGGGCGGAGGAATACATGCTGCTTTGGTGGCTGTCACCAGTCAGTGCTTAAACCAGTTTTGAATTCAAGTAGCTGTGTTTGAAGACCTCTAACAATTGGGAAGAAAGCAAATTCAAATATGTATCTTTCTTATTTTGATTTGGACAATCCTTGTACATATTTCCCTGTAGCCCCTGGATTTGCCATGTCCTCTACAGGATCACTTGTTAGCCATCCACGGTGTAGTTACGTTGGTCTTTCTCTTGCCAAAAAAACTGGCTCCTGTGGCGAGCTACCCAACCTGTCACAACACCCAACTGGTCTCTAAAGGCTGTGCAAGGCAGACTGGGAGGTACCGGTCACCTTGTAGCCTTACCAGGATAGCCCGTGCCTACAGGGGCTGTTAGGGATGGTGAATTAGTCTTGTTCGAGACCGTAGTTGGGAATAATGTGCAACTTCACCAAGAGGCCACAGGAATGCAGACAGCTTATCTGTGAGAAAGCTTGTGTTTTACCCTTGATATGCTGGTGTGGTAGCAAACTGGGGGGGGATTCTTGCAGCTGCCAGGAAGATTTCCAGGTGCTTTTAACTGGACTTTGGAAAAGGAACACAAATCTACACTTTGCCATTGAGCTGAATATTTAACAAGTCTTACTTTGGGCAGTCTAAAACTCTTACTTCACCTCCTAAAAGTTTTATGATGTGATAACCTACTGGCTGGATGCAGCCAGTGAAACCTACTTGAAACCTCTATAGGTTAAGCTGAGTTTTAAAAAGTTAGGTAGAAATTACCTGGTTTAACATATTTTTCTGGGAGTAGCTACTGACTGCAGTTTCTAATAGGAATTTGAAAGAATTTGCACCTAGTAACAAAGCAGATTACCTCAAAAAAACTTTCTACACTGCTGAAAATAAACTGAAATAAGATATTCTGATGTTTGGGGTTTTTTTTTTTTCAAAATGGGAAAAGCTTAAGCTGAGGTTAAAAAAAAAAATGGTGCCAGAATTTCCTGCTGATAAGAAATGTCAGGCTTAATCGCTTCTACTTGATTAAGCATATTTTGTTTTGGCAGCTAATCTTATCAGTTTGCATCTAGAAAATATCATTTACGAATGCTTACGTATGGCTTTCTTTAAATAGTATTGATTGGGTCTCTGAAGGCCAGAACTGTGGGGTTTTTTGTCTCTATTGATAGAAACGTCATACTAATTCTACATGCTTTGTGCTGATTCTTTGTCTCATGTTTCACCACCCCAGTACTTACTCACCATCCTTTGGGAGTTGTTTTGCTGGCTACATCTTCCTGCTCTCACCAGCTAGCAGCTGCGATGCTTAAACTGGCAGTTTCCAAGCTGAGGAGGAAAGGATTGGAGTCTTTTAGCCCAGAAATATTTGATCTTTCTGCTCCAACACACTCGCTACCTGATTTCTGGGGAGAACGGTCTACAGGCTCAGCCACTTGGTAGGGTTTGAGGCATTTTCTGCTTTTGCAAAAGCAGATGCTTCTGAGTCTCTTGTAGCTAGGGAGACTGTCAGGCAGCTCAAGTGTAAACTTGTACCACCGGGACTAGTGGAATAATTCGGTGCTTCCTGATGGAAAAGCAAGATAGGAAAGCATTTAAACATTATAACAAATGATTATGATGGCTTTTAATACCCATTCTTCTAGAGGTAACACGCTTCAGGAATTCTCAGATGCTGGTAAATGACTAGTTCCAGATGTCTCTAACTGCAGCACACTCTCCATCTGATAAGTTGATAACTCTGGCTCTGAGCCAGATTTAGAATCCGTCTTACAGTTTGTCCTAGGTGGCTTTATCTTTCCAATTTTTGAAAACTTGTGAAGCTGCAGTAGTGGTACACATTACTTGTTGGAAATTGAACTTTTAATTTATCAGTACGTTTCCCCACAAGTTCCGAGAGGTGCTTGCTTTGAAAATTAAGCGTGGCCCTTCTCTTGCTCAGAATGCCTCCATAAAGAAACTTAAACCTTGGCAAAAGCTACAAATGCCTTTGTGGAGCAATAATTTTATACCTTGCTGCTGAGATCTCGACTAGCCTGTACACATGTTTGTTTTTCTCCCTCCCTAGGAGTTTACATCCTTATTGGAGCTGGTGCACTTATGATGCTGGTTGGTTTCTTAGGATGCTGTGGTGCGTTGCAGGAATCTCAGTGTATGCTTGGCTTGGTAAGTGTTCAGAGAAGCATTTAAACTTTTCGCAGCACAATGAGAAAGGAAGGAAAAATATTACTGTGCAGGTAAAGGGCAGCAGATGCTGATTATTTTGGCTCCACAACGGTTAAACTCGTGGTCCCCTACATAATGCTGATGTGTTATATAAATTTAATTTCCATTTCTAGCCCTAAATCCATATGTCCATGTTGTATTTGAATACAGAATGACTTCGGGAGTTAGGGACATATTCAGACATTAAAGTATCAAGACTAAGGAGTATGTGTGAATCCAGAACTAAAACGTTCATAAGAGGAATGCTGTTTATTAAACAGTTTGTCCTGAACTCTGAAGGCTGTGCAGTCTTAACTTTTTGAGACTAGATCTGTGGTATTTGATCCTTGAAACAACAAGCCTCTACTGTTCATAATCACAGGATGAGCTCTACTAGTTGATAACTGCTCTGCCAGTCAATTTTTGGAGAGCAACCTCATTGTTTTCAGACTGGAGGGGTCAGCAGAGCTTGATGGGTTCATGCACATCTGTACACTTGTGGAACTACTTATCCAAATAACCAGAATACTTAGTTAATGAAAGACTACTGCTATAGCTGATGGCAGAACAATTCCCCTACTGTGTCATGGAAGAAGTTAATTTCATATTTCTTGCAAAATGATACCTCTGGCCCTTTGTAATTCTGATCGTCTTGCTTTAAAGTGCTTTTGAATGGTAGTGGTGTTTTGGACCTGGTAGTTGAACACCGAGATGACACTTGTATTTCTATTTTATGGGATGCACAACAAAGAAGTGACCATTAGTGTTCTGGGAGCTGGTGGAAAGCTAGGTATTAAGTAATGACTCCTAAAGCAACAGGAGTGACAAACCAGAAAAAAGAATCGGTGTCAGCTGTTGTGGTGTGTCTGAGTGACCTGGGCAACTTCAAAGACTGAGTTAACAGATGATTGGTTTTAATTAACTGATCAAAAAGGAGGACTTCTGCTTGGAAAACGCTGCTGGGCTTTCTGATGCTCCTGAGAAGTGCTGACCCAGTGCAGTGTGTCCTCTTTCCTAGTCTTACCAGCGTTTCAGATCTCCAGCTGGAGTCTGGTTGAGTGACAGTTCCAACAAGGCTGGACACTGGGGACCAGACGAGCTTGCAGTATTTGTGTGATGCTGTTTTGTGGTGCTGTGGTCTTAATAATGATGTGGTCTTTCTTTTTTTAGTTCTTCCTCTTCCTTTTTGTGATTTTTGCCCTTGAAATTGCTGCTGCAATCTGGGGATTTGCAAATAAAGAAAAGGTAGGTTGCTTTTCAAAGTTGCCAGAGTGGTGGGATGCTGGAACAGGTTGCCTGGAGAAATTGGGTGCCCCATCATTGGAAGTGTCCAAGGCCAGGTTGGACAGGGCTTTGAGCCACCTGGTCTGGTGGAAGGTGTCCCTGCCTGTGGCAGGGGGCCTGGACTAGATGATCTTTAAAGGTGCAAACCATCTGACCCAAACCATTCTGATTCTATGACTGTGCCAACAGGAAACCAGCAGTCTGCTGAAATCTATACCAGTACTAGTCAAATCCTGATTACCCAAGGAACTTGGGGGAGAGGAAGATGATGCATTCTAGCAGAATAATACAAGAAAGTAAACTAATATTTAAAAATTAGACTGTAGCAGAGAAGACAGAATTTAAGATGCTGCTGCATGCTAGAGATGCACTCCAGGCAGTACCTGGCTGAGCTGCGAAGCAAAGCAGGCCATCAGTGAAGCTTTACCACCTCTGGATATGGGCTGAATGTTTCTGCATCTAAAATGTGACTTATCTGAGCTGTCCCCTCGCAAGCAGTCAAGATTTTGTCTTGTTTAAAAATAAGGTGCTTTGTGATCAGGGTTGCTTTTCTGATTGTATTATACAACAGGGAAATATAGCAACTTCTGGGGTACAGAAAGGAGTAGGGAATATTTTTGTGTAACCAGTGGGCAAAGACTTGGTTCTCTCACTCCACCTAGAAGCTCAGAGCTTTGGAAGGGAAACAATCTTATCTGTTTAGGTGTGTCTTTTAAGGTGAGTGTACCAGCTAGGCTCACTGTTCAGCATGAGAAAAGCTGTCCACCCTCTATTTCTACATGTCAAAATGATGGGTATTGCGGGTTGCAGAATTCTTAATGACTGACTCAAGTTTTCCATAATCAATAAGGTAAGACAATAATACAACACAACTCTTTGCTGTCCTGTAGGTTATTGAAGAGTTAAAGGACTTCTACAAGGAAACCTATGAAAAGAGATCTCAAGCACCAGCCAGAGAGACCCTGAAAGCATTTCAGTTAGCTGTAAGTACTTGGTTATACTTAACTAGACAGGAATGCAGCTTGTTGACGCTATTCTCCATGTCATCCAGTCCCCTGTAACGAGTGCAGTACCTGACTAACTAGAAGAAACCAAAGGAGTATTAGTAACACACTGCAGAGAAGATCTTTTTGTATAGTATCGGTGTATTCAGCATGCCTTTTTGTCTGTCTGAACCTCGGAGATGCATAGAACGAGCTCTTGTTTTCCTAAAACTCAGAAGCAAGCTGGGGCACTAGATCTGTGGTATTGATCTAGAGGCACCATGTGTGTCTACTTGATGAGATCTAGCTCTTCCTGTCAGAATCTTGTCCTTTAATGCAATAAAGGCTTTTTAAAAATTAAGTTTATAGCAGTTGCCTTGGCAGGACTTCTAAGCAAATTTGCGTAACGTCCGTAATAAAACCTGATGTAATCTCTTTCTTCTTTTTACCAAATACGGAGTGAAAATAAGGATTATTTAACCTGGTTCTCTTTCTTGTTTTCTGTTGTAGCTAGACTGCTGTGGTCTTACAGGATTCCTTGAGCAGCAATTCATGGACACCTGTCCAAAGAAGGCCCTGCTCGAGTCGCTCACTGTAATGGTAAAGCACGACTTAATTCGCTGACAGCTCTGCCCAATGCATAGAACGAGAAACACGTTTCTGAATAAACCCTTCCAGTCCATGGGAAACTCCCACGTCACGCTTCCTTAGCAACCTATCTCTATAATCAGTCTGGTTGTGGAAAATCAACGTACTGTTACTGTGGAAAGAACAGGCGGGGTCAGCAGGAAATGTGCAGGCTGTGTCACTAGACTCGCTGCCTTGATGGACAGCGTAAGGCCCAAGCTTCACCTAAAAAAAAAAAAAAGAAAAAATGCTCTGTTCTGCTGGCTGCTCTGATCACCAGAGCACCTTCTCGGTGCTGCGCAGGAGCTGTTGCCTCACCTCTTGGTGAGGAGGAGCAGAGCGTGGGGTGGGAGCATGTCTGAAATTTTAGTGAGGAAAAGAGGAGCGTGATGCATGGTGGCCTGTTCAGGTGAGTGCGTCACTGTGAAGCCAGTTCTGAGTCACATTCCCCTGCTGAAATACTGCCGCAAAAAGTACCTCTGTGCCACAGGTACAGGAGAGGCATCTTGGATAGTTCTGAACTGCCCTGTTGCCTCTTTTTCTTACAACTGTCTTGTGTTCTTGCTTCATACTCCAAGACAGCCTGTATGAATCTTCCCATAGAAAATAACATTTTTAAGGTGCAGGTATTCAATTAACAACTTGATTTTTTTTTTTTCACGTTACCTGTGCTCTTCCTTTCACTACAGATGATTATGTGCCCCCAAATATCTGACCACATGAGACATTTCAGCTTGTATCTTTAGTCCTCTCCATACAATCTGCTAGGAGTTATAGGGGAGTAGCTGAGACAGTATGTAGGTTTTATTGTTTATTTTTATTCTAAGTGTTTTAAGGTCATCTGTTGACTTACTCTTGTGATCTGTTTATGGCCTGGTCCTAACTCTAGAAAAAAAACAGCAGATAGACTGCAAGATTAATGGGATATAATGGTCAGATCTGTGTGCTTCTAAGAAGCAGTGCTGTATTGATATTCTGATTTTAGTGATTAATTCATGTCTGTATGTCCCTTTAATCCTTGAGTCAGTCTTTCTGAACTGGATAAGGAACAACCGAAGGAAAAAGTTTTTAGCAGCTCACTGTAGTCTGCTGCTGGAACGAGTTAGGATGAGACTTTGACCTCTACCAGGCTCTTAAAGATTCATACCTCTATAAAAGTTCTTGTTCTTTTTCTTGTCTACCATGTGTCTCTGGGGAAAGGACTGTATTAAAATTTTTTTCTTTTAGTTGCAATGGTAATTCTTTGTCCTGGGAGTTTCAAACTGTGCTCCTACCTGTAGCCTACCATGTATGTGTGCAGCTCAAGAAATCCTGCTATTCCCGGGCACCGTGTGTTCATACCGTGTGTCGGCAAAACTGCAATTGGAAATATTAAGAGTGGCTTCAAATCGATTTTGAGAGGGGCTGAGCAATACAGTGGCTTAAATGCTGACAGCCATTAGTAACAAGCCTGGTGTGACTGCTGTTAGTCCTGATCTACCTGCAGGTGTTGAGAAGGCAATCTGGCTGTAGCCAAGGTGCAGTTAGGAGATTTAGATACTCGAAGAGTAGATTTAAACTTCTCCGCCAACTTTTATGTTGGAATGTCCCGGGCTCTCTTTAAAGATGCAAAAATAAGTGCCAGTTCAAAGCAGCTTTCAAAAGATGAGTCTTCATCTCTAGCACAAGTAAACCTGGTCAAAGGTGTAGTGTCGATCAGCAGACTTGATCTCGAACCGGGAAGCAGAAACAAACCTTTCGTATGTACGGAACACTAACGAGCAGTCTGTTTCTTTTCAGTCGTGCCCAGCTGCCATTGATGATGTCTTCAATTCAAAACTGAATGTGATTGGAGCAGTGGGCCTCGGCATTGCTGTAATAATGGTGAGTTTCCAGATTATTTAGAGGGTACCTGCATGGCCAAAAAGGACACTTAGAGCAGCCGTCTGACCAGCGCCTGGCATGGCACTCTAGAAGCCCATCCTACTAATAACAGCTACTACCAGGAGCAGGGTGTGTGCTGCAGGGCCCCGAGGCAGAGCAGAGGGTGGTGCCTTGGACCTCCCTGCTCCTGCTTTGCATTAGGATCTGCCTCCTTGTAGCTTTGGCAGTGCATGTGTGTACATAGAGAGAAGACGCATTGGTGCCTGCCCACTTAATACCTCTTGGGGATCCTTGCTTTTGTTTCCAACAGTTAAAGACTCTGGAGTAAAGACTTCTAGCACTTCGCCTGAAGTAACAGTGCTAGTAAGAACACTTGCACTTTTTTTAGCTTCTCTGAAGGATGACATGGATGCAAATACGCTGGGATGATCAACGATTTCTTAGGAGCTATGGCAGGGGTTTATAGCTGATCTGTTTTGAAGTATTGAGGGTGAAGGGGATTTATGAGAACAGACTGAAATCTGTAGGGAGGGAGGGGCACAACCTGCAGAGTAAAGTGTTAATACAGCCTCTGGGCTGGGAGGAGCAACTCCGCTTGTCCCTGTGTTGATAGAAGAAGGTGCTTTGGTCCCCCAGTTTCTAACGCATTTGCTTTCTTTACAGATTTTCGGCATGATATTCAGTATGGTTCTCTGCTGTGCTATCCGCAGAAACAGAGAGATGGTCTGAGAGCTAAAAACCCAAGACTGCTGCACTATAAAAAAAAAAATCTTTGTCATTAACTTTAGCGTTCTGAAAGCATTTCTAAAAAGTTATATATTTGTTACCTTTTTAATGCTTTATTTGGTACTGATGTAGGTTTGCTTTTTGTTATAGGTTTAAAATTATAAAGGTATATCTGACTCGACAAATATTGTACATAAAATATCTGACTTTCTTGAAACTTACGTAATTTGGATGTAATTTATGTTGGAGACAATTTGATACTTAATAAAGAGTAAGATGTATTGTATGTTTGTGGGGGAGAGGAGATTTGACTATGCTTATTAATCATGCTGTTTGATGCACGACACGGAGTTGAACTTGCAGAACGTGTGAAGTGTTAAAGCACTAGGGCTTTAGTATAAAGCAGCAAATAACTCCTCTGGAAATGCCATGTTTGATGGGAATTCCAAGGAGTGTGTTAGGGGAGGTGGTGTCATTTCTTCTTTCCTTGGTGTGTGTGAACAAAAGCAGTTCTTGATTATAGTCCTAAAATACTGCTGTAATGCTTTTCCTGTCATCTTCATCCAGGGTGGCCGAGGATGACTGTCAGACTGGTGATAGGTGGGCAGTGGTACTTTGATGCAGAGAGGCTGGGGTCTACTCTGGAGCCAGCTGGGTTTTCTTACATCAGCCTGGCTGCTGATATAACCGTCCCCTGGCATCTGACACAGCCTCGGCCCCTTGACAAAGCAGATTTCCCATTGTGTGTGCTCGGGGTGTTTCTCGGTGGCTGGCTTTGTGCTTTGTTTTTCCAAAGCCAGTGAAGTACAATCTCAAGGGCTTACAGCATGTGTGCCAAATCTGAGTTTTCCAAGTAGAAAAAAAAAATAACCAAACAACAAGCTGCATGTAAAATTACTGTACAGCTCTGCAGTTGCTGCTTGCAGCAGCAGCTAGTTGTGGCTATCCTGTTTCAGTTTAAAAATGCTTAGGGGAGAGAGCAGAGAGATTAGCATGGAACCCTTAGCCTGAAGAATTACCATTTTGTCCTGTACTACTCTAAATTGCTTTTTAAGTGGTTTGGGTGCTTTTTTTTGTCCTCCCTCTAAAACACCTTCTGGTGGGAGCTACCTCTGGACTTGGATCCTTACCAGCAAGTTGATGTGCTGTACCTGTATCTGTTGTTCCCCTGCTGTAGTATCTCTAGGAGCTTCTGGTCTTTGTCCTCTAAGTTCTACAACTGTCTTAGTAGTACTTGTTTGTTCCCACCTTTCTCTTGAAAGGAAATTGGTATTTATTATGACAAATATCTAAACTGCTGAGGGCCAGGCTCTGCCTGTATCTCTGGACTAATGCGTGAGTGAATGTATCGCCCACCTTTGTGTTCCCCGTTGTCACTTGTCTAAGGAGTTATACAAAGCATACATCTCTCTGTAACACCTTGCACTATTCTGTTAATGGGGCCTTTTTTAAAGAAAAAAAGTCTGGATTTCAAAAAAAAAAAAAAAATCAAATAGTAATCATGCTTTTGTGTGTTTTACAGAGACTGGAATGACTCCAGAAAGGAGTTGATCTAATTTTCCTTCCTGGATATACAAGAGAGCCTGGAGGGGAAAATTTAATCTTATATGGGAATTTGAGACCTACCCCTCCCTGAGCTCTTGCTGGACAGATGTAGAATTTTTGTCAGCGTTTTGTCTGGGCATGAGACTGAACCTGGCACCTGAAAGAACTGGGTTGAATTAGCCAACTGTAGGGAAAGTGTACTGCTGACTTCAACTGCCCTTGGTTTTGTTGGTCCGTGTTGGTGCATGTTGTTCAGGTTACCAACATCCAACGTGGCTGTAGTCCAGCACTAGCAGTGTTTGTCAACATCTGAGAAAAGGCCGCGCATCCTAACTGGGGTACTGAGGACTAAGCTGGAGGCTCAGCACCTCAGCTCAGGAGATGAGTTGGGGTGACAGCTATGGAGGAAGCTCTCAAAACTGGCATCCAGGCCAACTGAATATCCAGAAGACTTAAGTTTCTAGTTTCCACTGTTGCCATCTTCTGCAGAAGCTGGATGGGGCCTCCCTGTGTTTTTACCTTGCAACGCTGCTGCCTTAACCACGGTGTTTACTGCAACATTCATGCCTCTGCTACCTCCCCCTTCCCCCCCCCCCC